TTGAGTCCGAAACGCGGAAGGTGAGTATAGCCCGTAAGTATGACTTCCACCACCGGAGTTTTTTTTCTTTTTTTTTCAGTGTATTAGGGAGTTCCGCCTCCTTCAACGACGCTAATCAATTTGTTAGTTTTGGCGATAGTTAGTCAATTGGAAGCAACGGCATTCCAACTGGAAAAATTTCCACGCATAAATGATTATATTTTCATCGGAAAACATACAGGATTGCAAAATCTCTTCGATCCTGTGATCCGGGGATTGCAAGCTCGCGGTGCGCACTGTTCAAAAATGGTGTACATCGTGGTATATTGAAAACCAAGAAAATACGACTTTTCAACGACTTGAGCGCGCACCGTGGTATATGCGCAATGCATGAAGTATCCTGCATACTTGTAAGGCGCCTCTACGCGCTGCGGGTAGCACCGTGCTATTCGCGCAATGCATGAAGTACCCTGCGTCTTAAAAGGCGCTACTATGCGTTTTGAGCCGTGCGCGCCAGCCGCACTGTGTTTGACGGGATTATTCAAACTTGCGGCATAAGTTTTTCCTACGGATAACTCACTAATAGTCTACTTCTAGGAAGGCACCAGTATTTTCAAAGTAGGATATCTTTATTATTAAAAAAGTAAAAACTAGAGGCCCACATACCTCTCATTACTTGAACTGTTTTTCAGGATTTAATGATGAAAACGCTTTCGTAAGATGAGTGTAACTAAATGTATTGTTATAAGTTTGTTCGTAAGTCTAATTTAATTCAAATTAATAATTTTATTGTAGATTTAGGACCACCTTCTAATATTTCTTATTAATCAGCGGCATTAACCCTATCCCAGTGCTGCTATCTTCCCTGCAAAGTGAACAATACATTTGCAAGCCTATCCGCTTAGATTCTCCTACTATACTTCGACCGCGCGGGTCAAGGTTTTCTGGAGACTCAAACGCTGACATAGGAACGTAGAGATTTAAAACACAGTGACTTTTCTCTCTCCTCGTGAACTAGGACTCGATAAATTTATCGATGGTTAAATACCCGCTTGCGCCAATAGAATCGCTCCATTTCCTCTTTATCTTATTCGCTTATCGTTCACTGGAAAAAAAAAACACATTGGATCTAGAGTCCAGACTCTTAAAAACATCGACAAGACAAAATACTCTAGATTCAATCAGATTTAAGCTTAAATCAAGAACCAAGCCTCTTAATTTGAGCGGATTTCTTTTTGATTTTTCTTAAATCTGATTGAATCAAGAGTCCTTTTTCTTGTCAATGTTTTCAAGAGTCTGGACTCTAGATACAATGTGTTTTTTCCCAGTGTTTTGTCTAAAAAGTTCAATAATTAACCCGCAGGGCCACAGGGTCGGGTCTCTAAAATATATCTCAACTTCGAACTTTGAGAGTCGAAGCGAGCGCATAGTTTGCGGCAGCCAGGGCCAACGGCCCAACGGGGCGGAACCGGCTGCACCTGCTGGCCACGGCGCGCGGCTCGCGGTGGCGAGAGATTGGCGCTGCGATACGCGGACGTCTTAATCAGGTGGAGCCGGGGCAGGCCAGGAGGAGCGTTAATTGATTCGAACCATAACGCAGCTCACCACTAATTACCGGCATGATCGTCTCCCCTGCCCCCCACCCCC